GTTTTTAGAAATATATAAAGTATCCTCTTTCCTCCAGTATTCAATAACATGTTTTTCTACTTCTTCCTGAGCACTCAGTTGCTATATTTTTCCCTTTATAATTTTTTTTATTTAAATTCAATTTAGTTAACATATATAGTATTATGAGTTTCAGGGGTAGAATTTGGTGATTCATCAGTTGGATACAACACCCAGTGCTCATTACATCCATTGTCCTCCTTAATGCCCATCACCCATTTACCCCATGCCCCCAACCTTCTCCCCTCCAGAAACACTCAGTTTGTTTCTTATAGTTAAGAGTCTCATGGTTTACCTCCCTCTATTTTTATCTTATTTTGTTTTATCTTCCCTTCACCTATGTTCATCTCTTTTGTTTCTTAAATTCCTATGGTATTTCTGTTTATCTGACTGACTTATTTGGCTTAGCATAATAGCCTATAGTTCCATCCAAGTCATGGCAAATGGCAAGATTTCATCCTTTTTGATGACTGAGTAATATTTCATTACAGATATATGTATATATAACCTGTTCTTTATCCATTCATCTGTCAATGGACATCTGGGCTTTTTCCATATTTTGGCTATTGTGGACATTGCTGCTATAGACATTGCGGTGCATATGCCCCTTCAAATCACTACGTTTGTATCTTTCAGATAAATACCTAGTAGTGCAATTGCTGGGTCCTATGTAGTTTTATTTTTAACTTTTTGAGGAACCTCCATACTGTTTTCCAGAGTTACTGCACCAGTTTGCATTCCCACCAAGAGTGTAAGAGGGTTCCCCCTTTTCCACATCCTCGCCAACATTTGTTGTTTCCTGTCTTATTAATTTTAGCCATTCTGACCAACATGAGGTGGTATATAATTGTGGTTTTGATTTGTATTTCCCTGATGCTGAGTAATGTTGAACACCTTTGTGCCTCTTGGCCATTTGGATGTTTTCTTTGGAGAAATGTCTGTCCATGTCTTCTGCCTATTTCTTGATTTGATTATTTGTTTTTTTGGGGTGTTGAGTTTGATTAGTTCTGTATAGATTTTGGATACTAGCCCTCTATCTGATAAGTCATTTGCAAATATTTTCTCCCATTCATAAGTTGCCTTTTAGTTTTGTTGACTATTTCCTTTGCTGGGAAAAGAGCTTTTTATCCTGATGATGTCCCAGTATTTCATTTTTGCTTTTGTTTCCCTTGCCTTTGGAGATGTGTCTAGCAAGACCTTGTTGCAGCCAAGGTCAAAGCGGTTGCTGTCTGTGTTCTCCTCTAGGATTTTGATGGATTCCTGTCTCACATTTAGGTCTTTCATCTATTTTGAGTTTATTTTCATGTATGGTAGGAAAATTGGACAGCCAAATGCAGAATAATGAAACTGGACCTCTTTCTTGCATCACTTGGTATAATTCCAATGTTCATATTTCAACCAAAATTCTCTTTGTGACTATATAGGTATTCTCTAAGATGATATAGGCTTTCTCTATCATGCTCCTCACTTCCTCCAGAGTCCATCAGAAGGGATTTAACATTCATATGTCTACTAGCAGTTTTCTCAAGGCAATCTAGGATTTTTTTTTCATCATGCTTCTGTAAATCCCTCCAGTCTTTGTCTAATTCCCAGTTCTAACATCACTTCCACATTGTTAGGTATTTGTTACAGCAGCACCTGCTAGTGGTACCAATATTTGTATTAATTATTATTGCTGTGGAAAAATACCACAAACTCGGTGGAAAAAAACAACACAAATTTATTTGCTTACAGTTCTGGATGTCATAAGTCTGAAATCAGTTTTACCAGCCTAAAATCAAGGTGTAAGAAAAGGTTTATTTTAAAGATTCTGAAGAGAAAACTAATTTTCTTTTATAATTATAGTATCTAGTGACCACATGAATTCTTTGGCTTGTGTCCCCTTACCTTTTCTACAAAATGAATCATTCCAATCTCTGTTTTCATCATCAGATTGCTTTATCATCCTCTGACTTTCTGGTTTTTCTCTTATAAGAACTCTGGAGAATAAATTTAGTGCCCTTCTGGAAAATCTATAATAATTTCCTGAATTCATGATTCTTAACCATATATGTGAAGTTCCTTTCACCATATAAGATAATATTCACAGGTTCCAGGGGTTCAGATATGGACATTTTGTAGGTTCATTTATCACCCTTCCAAAGTACTCAATATTTATTACTTGATTGAATAAATGAGTGAAAACCACATCATAATTTCTTATTCAAATTTGAAGAATTGACTCATTCAATTGTCAGGCAATACAGTTTCAAGAAAAGTAATAAATTAAATAAAGTAGAGAGAAAATAAGAAAAACAAGTTATGTTTATAAAAAAACGATTTGAAGTAGGGGATATAAAAATGGAGAAGGAATAAAGCATTTTGAGAGCAGGATTTCACTTCAGAACAAAGAACAGAAAATTCCAGTTCTGGATGTCTTCATTGATCAATTCTTCCAAAAACCCAAGGAAAAAATTGCAATTATTTACAAACTCTTCCAAAATCTAGGAAAAAGGGAACACTTATCAACTTATTCTATGAGAGCAGAGTAACCTTAATAAAAAAATCTCACAAGGTGATTAATAGAAAATAAAATTATAGCCTTATATCTTTTATAAACAGATTACAAAATGCTTAAACATTTTATCAAATTCAATACATAGAAAGCATATTATATCATAACCAAATGAGCCTTATTCCAATTCAACGTAACATTTGAAATTCACCTTGCTCAGCATGGAGTCTGCTTCTCTCCCTCTTTTTCTGCCCCTCCCCCACTCTCTGTCTCTAAAAATAAATAAATAAATCTTTAAAAAACATTACAAAAGCACAATAACCATTAGCTATTATTCTTATTACTATTGTTATGGCTTTATCATTTCTTTCAAAGTATTTTATTATGAGGTTCAAAGAAGAAATATGTCTTTTATACTATTCTATTTTGTTTTCTTTCTTTTTTTTTAAGATTTTATCTATTTGACAGAGAGACACACAGTGAGAGAGGGAACACAAGCAGGGGGAGTGGGAGAGGGAGAAGCAGGCTTCCTGCTGAGCAGGGAACCTGATGCAGGGCTCGATCCCAGGACCCTGGGACCATGACCTGAGCCAAAGGCAGACACTTAACGACTGAGCTACCCAGGGGCCCCTCTATTTTGTTTTCTTTTACATTTTCATTTTTGGAAAAAGAAGAGTGGCATAGTTCATCATCACTGGATAACAGAAACCTAACATATTATTCTATTCCATTTTGATTATAGATTTTTGTATCCTGTTTAATAAATATTTACTCCACTATCATTAAAATATTATCCTATGTTACCTCCTGAAAGTATTTTATTTTACTTTTCAGCTTTATGTCTATAATATATCTAGGGTTGATTTGAGTTTGTAGTGTGAGATAAGGATCAAGAATTACATTTTTTCTTCTTGAAAATACCAAACTTATCAGTACCATTTGTTGAAAATATTCTTTCCCCAATGCATAACAACTTTGGGATAATTCATGTGACCAAATCTTTATAGGTCTCTTTTTGTACTTCCTAATCTGTTCCATTGGTTATTTGTTTTTGTGCTAACATTACATTGTCTTAACTGTTTTCACTATATCATAAGGTGATATATTGATGTTGGTAATGTATATCTTTCCATTTTTTTTCAAATTGTCTTGGATAGTCTTGGATCTTTCATGTCCATGTAAAATTTAGAATCAAATGTCAGTTTTCAAAAATGTCAAAAACTGTTTTTGGGATTACATTGAATCGTTATATCAATGTGGGAAGAATTATTATAATTATAATATTGAGTCTTCTAATTCCTGAACATAGTACATACATCCATTTATTTATGTTTTGTTTAACTTAATATTGGTTTCCACCCTTCAGACATTTTGCAGATATATTTTTAGATTTATTCCTAAGAATTTGGTCTTTATGATGTTGTCATATAAATTGTATTAGTAAAATAATTTCTAATTGTATTGCTGTGTATAGAAATATAACTTATTTTCACAGTCTTTGTATTTAACAATTTCACTAAATTCATTTATTCTGATTGTGTGTCTGAAACATTTTGGATCTTCTTTGTAAATGGTTATGCTGCCTGCAAATAATAACAATTTTATTTCTTCTTTTACAAACTGATTGAACCATGCTGGTGCCCCTGTAATGTTTTATAGTGCTTAAAATGCACTTCCAAATAGTATATTTTTAATATAATTTTAATGAATTTTTCTTGCTTTATTGAATAGACTAGAAGCTCTAGTATAATGTCAAATTGAAATTGTACTAGTGGACATCCTTCTTATTCCTCAGCTCAACAGGAATGTTTCCACTTCACCGTTGAATGTTACATTTGTTCTAGTTTTCTGTAGATTCTTTTTATCAGTCTAAAGTTTCCTTCCATTTCTTGTTTGCTGAAAATTTTACCATAAATGAGTGTTAGATATTTTTAAAGATTTTTTCTGTATACTGAAATGATTGTATAACTTTCTATCCTTTATTCTAATGTGTTAATGTGGTGATTTTCAAATGTTAAACTGACTTGAAATAAGGCTCATTTGGTTGTGAAATAATATGCTTTCTATGTATTGAATTTGATAAAATGCTTAAGCATTTTGGAATCTATGTTTATAAAAACATAAGACTGTGATTTTATTTTCTATTAATCACCTTGTGAGTTTGGTTTTTTTTTAAAGATTTTATTTATTTATTTGAGAGAGAGAATGAGATAGAGAGAGAGCATGAGAAGGGAGAGGGTCAGAGGGAGAAGAAGACTCCCCACTGAGCAGGGAGCCCGATGCGGGACTCAATCCCAGACTCCAGGATCATGACCTGAGCCGAAGGCAGTCGCTTAACCAACTGAGCCACCCAGGCGCCCGTGAGCTTGTTTTTTTTTGTTTTTGTTTTTTTTTTTTAAGCTTACACTGTTCTCATAGAACAAGTTGGTAAGTGTTCCCTTTTTCCTAGACTTTGGAAGTTTGTAAATAATTGCTATTTCTCCCTTAGGTTTTTGGGAGAATTGATCAATGAAGACATCCAGACCTGGAAATCTCTATGTTGGTAAGTATTTTTTTATCAAGTTAACAGCTTTAGTATACAGTAATTCAGATTTTCTATTTCAGCTTTAATATGTGTTCCTCTTAAAGGGATTTTCCCATTTCAACTAAATTTTTCAATTTATATGCATAAAGCTTTTGCTTTCTTTTTATCTCTGTTGTCTTTACTTTTTTTTCTCCTGCATACATTGGCTTCAATTTACTGTTTGGTTTCTAGCTCCTTGAGATAGATACATAAACCATTTATTTTCAGCATCTCATTTTTTAATATGCAAATTTAAAGCTATAAAATTCTTAGTAGTTCTTTGCATCTGTTCATACTGCACCATCATATTTTTCTTTATGATATACAAAAAGTAGTTCAAAATATTTTCTAATTTACATTGCAATTTACTCCATAAATTGTTAATTTCCAAATGTTTAGATTTTTCAAAATTTCATTTTGTTGTTGATTTCTAGCTTTATTCATTTGTGGTCAGCAAATATATACCATGTAATTTCAGTACTTTGATACTTGTTTAAACTATTTTTAGTCCAGTCTATGGTCACTTTTGTTAAATGTTCCATATGAACTTGAAAAGAATGTATATTGTACAATTGTAGTGTCTTCTAATTGGGTCATTTTGCTAATAATGTTATTCAAATTTTCTATATCTCTACTGATATATTTTATCTAATAATCTATTAGTTACTAAGTGTGCTAAAGGTTCCAATTGTAATTGTGAATTTCTATATTGCTTTTAGTTGTATAAATTTTGCTTATATATTTTACAGCTATGAAAGTGAGTACATGCAAACTTAGAACTGCTATATTTTCCTATGGGATTAACCCATTTAATATAATAAAATGTTGCATTTATCTTTATTTATGTTAAAGTTAACTTTGCTTGACACTAGTATAGCTCTATGAGCTTATTATCCATTACTGTGTGCACAATATCTCTTCTCCATTAAAAAAATGATCTTTATGTGTTCTTATGTGACCTTTTTTTTGGAGGGGATTAGTGTTTTCATATTCTTTGGCAAAATACCCAGTAGTAGGTTTACTGGATCACATGGTAATTCTATTCTTAATTTTTGGATGATCCTCCATACTGTCCTCCACAGTGGCTACACCAGTTTGTAGTCCCAAAAATTGTACATTAGGGTTCCTTTTTCGCCACATCTTCACCAACACTTTTTTATTCTTGTGTTTTTGATTTTAGCTATTATGATAGGCATGAGGTGATATCTCACTGTGGTTTCATTTTAAGATTTTTATTTATTTATTTTAGAGAGAGAAAGAGAGCGAGTGAGTGGGGAGAGGAGCAGAGGGAGAGAGAGAATCTCAAGCAGACTAACTACTGAGTGCAGAGCTTTATGTGGGGGCTCAATCCCATGACCCTGAAATCACAACTGAGCTGAAATCAAGAGTCAGACACCTAACTGACTGAGCCACCCAGGTGCCCCTCATTGTGGTTTTGATTTGCATTTCCCTGATGTTGAGTGTTGTTGAATATATTTTCATGTCTGTTGGCCATCTGGATGTCTTCTTGGGAGATACCTCTGCTCGTGTCTTCTGACCATTTTTCTTTGGATTACTTGATTTGGGGGGGTGAGTTTTATACGTTTTTATGTATTTTAGATACTAAACCTTTATTGGATATGTCATTTGCAAATATCTTCTGTTCAATAAGTTGTATTTTAGATTTTTGTTGATTGTTTCCTTTGCTGTGCAGAAGTTTTGTTTTTGTTTTTGTTTTGATGTAGTCCTGATAATTTATTTTTGCTTTTGTTTCCCTTGCCTCAGGAGTAATATATAGAAAAATATTGCTATGGCTAATGTCAGAGAAATTACTGCCTGTGCTCTCATCTAGGAGTTTTACAGCTTCAGGTCTTACATTTAGATTTTATTTCAGTTGGATTTCATTTCTGTGTATGGTGTGAAAAATTGGTTTTGTTTCTTTTTTTTTCTTTCATTTAGCTACCTCATTTTCCCAACACCATTTGTTGAAGAGAATATCTTTTTCCCATTGTATATACTTGCCACATTTGTCATGGATTAATTGACCATATAATCATTGGTTTATTTCTGGAGATTATATTCTGTTCTGTTGATCTATGTGTCTTTTTTTTTTTTTTTTACCTTACTATACTGTTTTGATTACTACAGCTTGGCTGCATATCTTGAAAGCTAGGACTGTGATACATCTTGTTTCATTCTTTTTCAAAATTGCTTTTCATAGTCTTTTTTTGTTTTCATACTCACGTTAAGATTATTTATTCAACTACTGTGAAAACTGCAGTTGGTATTTTGATAGGGGTTGCATTAAATCTGTAGATTGCTTTGTGTAATATGGTCATTTTAATAATATTTGTTCTTCCAATCTATGAGCATGGAATATTTTTTTCATTTGAGTTGTCTTCACTTCCTCTTATCAATGTTTTATAGTTTTCAGAGTACAGGTCTTTCACCTCATTGGGTAAGTTTATTCCTAGATATTTTATTGTTTTAGGTTCAACTGTAAATGGGATTATTTTCTTCAGTTCATTTTCTGCTAGCTTATCATTATTATATAGAAATGCAATGGATTTGTGTATATTCATTTTGTATCCTGTGATCTTATGTATTTGTTTAGCAATTTTAAGTATTTTTTATGGAGTCTTTACATTGTCTATATGTAATATCATGTCATCTGCAAATAGTGAAAAGTTTACTTCACCCTTAGCAATTTAGATGTCTTTTGTTTTTTCTCTTTCTGATTGCTGTAGCTAGGACATCCAATACTGTGTTGAATAAAAGTGATGAGTGGACTTGTCTTAGGGAAATTCTCCCAGTTTTTCCCCATTGAATATGATGCTAGCTGTGGGTTTTTCATATATGGCCTTCATTATGTTGAGGTATGTTCCCTCTAAACCTACTTTGCTGAGGGTTTTACCATGAATGGATGCAGTACTTCGTCAAATACTTTTACTGCATCTATTGAAATAATATATGATTTTTAATTTTATTCTCTTCTTATGTGATACATCACATTGATAAATTTGTAAACATTGAACCACCCTTTCATCTCTGGAATAAATGCCACTTGATTGTCATGATTTTTTAAATGTATTTTTGGTTTTGGTTTACTAGTATTTTTGCATCTAAGTTCAAAGTTCATCAGAGGTACATCCTTGTAGCTCTCTTTCTCTCTCTCTCTCTCTCTCTCTATGTCTTTATCTGGTTTTGGTATCAGGGTAATGCTGCTCTCATAGAATGGATTTAGAATCTTTCCATCCTCTTTTTTTTATTAGAGTAGTTTGAGAAGAATAGGTATTAACTCTTCTTTAAATATTTGGTAGAATTCACCTGTGAAGCCATCTGGTCCTGGACTTGAGTTTGTTGGGAATTTTTTTTTTAATTACTGATTCAATTTCATTGCTGCTAATCAGTCTGTCTAAATTTTCTATTTCTTCCTTGTTCAGTTTTGGGAATTTATATGTTTCTAGGAATGTATCCATTTCTTCTAGGTTTTCCAATTTGTTGACATACAATTTTTCATATTATCTTATACTCCTTTGTATTTCTGTCATGCTGATTGTTATTTCTTCTTTTTCATTTCTTATTTTGTTTATTTGAATTCTCTCTCTGTTTTTTAATGAGTCTGGCTAAAATTGTATCAATTTTGTTGATATTTTCAAAGAACCAGGTCCTGGTTTCATTGATTTATACTATTATTATTGTTGTTATTTTTTAGTTTCTATTTCATTTATTATTACTCTAATCCTTGTTATTTACTTTCTTCTACTGTTTTTTTTTTATTTCTTCATCTCCTAGCTCCATTAGGTGAAAAGTTAGATAGTTTATTTTAGATTTTTCTTGCTACTTGAGTTAGACTTGTATTGCTGTAAACTTCGTTCTTAAACAGCATTTGCTGCATCCCTAACATTTTTTATCATTATGTTATCTTTTTCCTTTGCCCCCATAGATTTTCTAATATCCTTTTTGATTTCTTGGTTCATCTGTTCATTTTTTTCGTAGCATGTTTTTTAACCTCCATGTATTTTTGTTCTTTACAGATTATTTTTGTGGTTGATTTCTAGTGTCATAACATTGTGGTCATAAAAGATGCATGGTGTGACTTCAATCTTTTTTTAATTTGTTGAGACTTATTTTGTGGTCTAGTATGTGATCTATTTTGGAGAATGTTCCATGTGCTTTTGAAAAGAATGCATACTCTGCTGATTTAGGATGGAATGTTCTGAATATATCTATTATATCTTTCTGGTCCAGTGTGTCATTCAAAGCCACACTTTCCTTGTTGATTTTCTGTTTGGATAATTTACCCATTGAAGTAAGTGGGGTATTGAAGTCCCCTATTATTATTGTATTACTATCAATTACTTCCTTTATGTGTATTATTAGCTGCTTTATGTATCTGGTGCTTCCATGTTGGGTGCATTAATATTTAAAATTGTGATATCTTCTTGGTGCATTGTTCCTTTTATGATTATGTCATGTCCTTCTTTGTGTCTTATTACAGTGTTTGTCTTAAAGTATATTTTGTCTGATATAAGTAATCCTACCCCAGTGTTCCTTTCACTTCCATTTGCATGATAAATATTTTTCCATCTTTTCACTTTTAATCTCCATGTGTCTTCAGGTCTGAAATGAATTTCTTGTAGGCAGACTATAGATAGGTCTTGCTGTTTTACCCATTCATCACCCTATATCTTTGGATTGCAGTGTTAAGTCCATTAAGATTCAAATTCATTATTGTTAGGTATGTACTTACTGATATTCTGTTATTTGTTTTATGGTTGTTTTTGTAGTTCTACTTTGTTCCTTTATTCTCTTCCTCTCCTCTCACTGTTGGCTTTATTGATATATTTGTATTCTTTTTTTCTGTATTTTTGCATATCTATTACCTGTTTTTGATTTGCCATTACCGGTAAGTTTATATATAATATCTTATGCACATAGCAGTCTATTTTAAGTTGATAGTCACTTAAGTTTGTACCTATTCTTTACTCTTTCCTCCC